AAGATAAGTAAACAAAATTCATGACCAACATTTTATAATTTCACAAAAAACAAAATACAACCATAGCAGCAGTTATAAAGTGATTACAAACAAGAGAACAACGGTGAGCGAATCCTTTTCTGATCCATCTGAGGACCAAGAGTTCTCAAACGTCACCACAGACCGCTCTAATTTTTCAACTATGGGTGGGCGATAACGATAAAACGGCGAATCACAGCAGGCCCAAGACGACACCGGGTTGTCCAAAACTCAGCGATACCCCCACCAACTAGACAGGGGTGTCGCGACCGTACCAGAGTCTAATCGATAGACAATGGGAAATTCCCAACACTGGACAGCGGCACGTGCCAAGTCAATCAGGCCCAACCGTGTCGATGCTTGCATACCCACAATTAACCACGCCGAGACCCATCCGTGAGATCTAAAACTCGACGTTTTTGACGGGTAATACCCTCAAGTGGCCGACAACTGTGAAATGCTTCAAGAATTGTGGAAACTGCCAGTACTATCCAAAAAACGGTGATAGATCTAAATCGTCGTCACTCTGGCAAATCTACAACATGTGGTCGCGATATAAACCAATGCCCGAAGACTACAGTATATTTAGTTCCTAGTTATTTACTCGATTAACCCACTTCTGTTGGTAAACGAGAAGACCCACAAGCTAATCGACGCGAGGAGCAAGGGGGATTGACCGCCCGTCCTACCTAATCACGTGTCTTGTTCAACGCGTAACTTAGTCAATAATAAACAAAAGTCTGGAGTCAAAAACAATTGGAAAAGGCTAGGTGGAGCGTGCTCACGACGGTCCGAGCACTTCAAAGACGCCACTTGAAAAGAGCGATAAGGCAAGTTTGTAGAAGAAAGATCGATATGCGAACATAGCACGCACTGTATAGTGAGATTTATAATCATAAAATCTGGAGGAAAAGATTTTCAAAGCTGAACTCAGTCTGGTTTGAAGCATCGAGCGGTATAGATAGATCTAACGAGTGAGAAAATCGGAAAAGTGATTCTTCTCTTGGTAAATAAATTGTTTGGTAAAAGTTTTTTTGGTAAATATCATCTTGTGAGTTAGTAATAACAATTAGAAATTTTCAACCTATGTATTTATTCATATTTTTTATTAGAACAATGACAAAACGTTCAAACACGAATGAGTCTCATGACACAAGTAGAAGTGAAAATGAGCTCCAGATAGACGTTTATACAGATATGTTCGAAATGTTACACAGAAATGTTACTACAGATATGTAGAAGGTTTTCTTCTACAGTTAGTCTATCGTTTTGATAGCAGTGATAGTGATATCGTCCAAGCAACAAGACGACGAGAGAAAGAGTTCGCATAGATAGCGATTACAACAACAAAACAAAATTATAAAACAAACAATAACAAAATTAAATAAATAAATATTGATTTTTTTGCAAATTTCTCGGTTTCAGCCAAATTCATATAAGTCCAATATCATTATAATATGTTAGTTAGTTCCAAAACTATACTAAATAATACGAGGGTCTGTAAATTCCCGTTTCTGCCGAAAAGTGGCGCCGAGTAGCTGCTAGCTAACGTTCAGAATGGTGCGGAGTGCTAAGGATTAAGACGTGTATGATAACCGTTTAAAAATATCATATGATGCAATATAAATATAAAAAATATGTGTATAGTACAGCATGTTTGCTGCATAATGCAATGAAAAGTCATGAAATGTTATTTTAATAATAGCCAGAAGTAACACAAGAAATTTTTTCAATAATTAATATGTCCTTGTTCAGCAATGACAATGCATCGGTCCATAAAAGGAATGTTTATGTGGATTGTTCTAGCAGTGGGTTTATATCTAGCAGTTTCGTACATTTACAAAATGTTATTACACGTCTTAGCACTCAGTTTCTCACAATTAGTCGAACGGAAAAGCACGCAAGTGAAGTAAGTATAAATATGAAGTTAAATTGCATCACATTGTTCAAAAAAAGTAATTTCTCTTTTGAATGTGCTTACGAGAATGTGTCAATCCGCTAGACGGCGAGAAAGTGTAGTATTAATGAATTGACAGTGCAGAGAATAAGAAATAAGATACCGTAAAAGTATATTATTAAATGTTGGAGGAAGACGAAAAAAATTATCACTGCGGGATGAACGAAGAATTATACGGTTTGTCACATCTGGGGTAGCTTCAAGTGTCACTATGGCTGCAAAATTATTAAAAAAAGATACGAATATACAAATAAGCAAGTGGACAGTACGAAGAACCCTCAAAGGAGCTGAGTTTAGAAGTCTTAAAAAAAAGGAAACTCAATGTTATCGAAGAAGAATATTAAACTTCGTTTGGAATTTACCAAAAGATACGAAAACAGCACAACTATTGAATGGGGACGGGTTATTTGGTCAGACGAGACCAACATTAACAGAATTTGTTCAGATGGCAAAAGCTTAAACCGCGACATGTAAAGCAAACGGTAAAGCATGGAGACAGATCCCTAATGTTTTGGGGGTGCCTAATAGCATTTGATGTTGGATCATTGTACCGAATTAATGGCATCATGAATCACTACATGTACAAGGATATTTTACAAGATCATCTCATAGAAGCTGTTGAAAATATGTCTTTTGAAGAAGAAAATGTAATTTTCAAGCATAACCGAGACCCCAAGCACACTGCTAAAAATGTAAAAAATTGTCTGTTCTGGATTGGTCTGCGCAAAGCCCAGAGCTCAACCCCATAGAGAATCTATAGGGTTTACTAAAGAGACAACTTTGGGATTTATATGACTCCCAACCAACTTCAATCACAGATTTGTATAATAGAATTCAAGAACAGTGGGAACAAATATCTGCGGATTATTACAGAAAATTGGTAGAAAGTATAGCAAAACGAATTAGTGCAGTTTTGCAAGCAAAAGAGTTGTGGTCGAAATATTAAAAATAAAGAATATATTAAATATTGTCAAGTATTGGACGTGTGCTGCAAAACCGATTCAATTTATTTTTTTTGTCATTCCTAAACAACAAGACATTAATTATTGCAAACATTTCTTATGTTACTCCTAACTGTGATGAAAATAAATATAATATTTATTTTTCTGTTTTTATTGTAATGTTTATTGTTATTCTTGTATATTCTTAGGAATAAATAATGATTTATACAAAACCTGTGGTTGTTGATTCAATTATGCTCCTTACTGTAGATGACGGTTATTGTTTTTAAAAAATGACTACGGTCGAAAGTACCAACCTTACAAATCTTAAGTTTCAAGTTTGAAGACACTACATTGTTTAGTATTCGTTTGATAGCCGTTAATAGTGAACGCTCTCAGTGAATTTGTGAACATAAAAAAAATTGGTCATTGTTATGTGATTCAATATTTTCATTTGAAAGGTTTCAGTGCAACCAATATCAAAATTGTGCTAGATTCTACTCTAGGGGAGTCTGCTCCTTCGTTTACAACAATAAAATATTAGGTGGCAGAATTTAAACGAGGTCTCTTCGATTGAGGCTGAATTTGGCTTTATTTGAAGCAGTTAAAGAAGCATTATGGTTAAAATCTTTAACAATCAGCACCAAAGTAAATATATCAGAATCCATTGTAATCTATGAAGACAATAATAGTAGTAGTAGTATTGCAAACAACCCAACTAGTCACAAAAGGTCAAAACATATCGATATTAACCCTAGAAAGATAACCATATGACAACGTACGTAAAAGATAACCATACGCTTCAGAGGCGCATGCTTTTCTAAGGCGTCAATTTTATACTAACAATGGATATTTATTTAAGTTAATCTAGTCATTTTAAAGGTTTGGCATTATTGTAAAAATAAAATGCATTTATATTATATTTTTTTATATTTTAAGTAATTTTAAACTTAAATCACTAGACCTCTATGAAAAATTAACAAAAATCAACAGTCTTCGCAGGCGCCTCTGTGACGTAGTTTATCTTTCTCGGGTTAAGTATCACTTTACCAGAGAGCAGGTAGAGAATAAAGTGGTAATATTAAAATATATTCCAACAGGTCATCAATTGGCAGATATGCTGACCAAGCCACTTCCAGGACAAAAGTTCATCCAAATGAGAGTAGGAATGGGCGTACAATAATATAATTTTTTTTATTGTTCAATTATTATAAGAAGTAAGTGGTCAGGTTTTCCTGGGTTTCCCTTGACCCTTAGCAACAAATGTTGGACCATATTGTATTTCCCCAGAAGAGGGAAGGTATATCATATTTAGTTAATAAATATAAGAATATTAGATATACATATTTTTATTGGTTGCATGTTAATCTTGTATTTCTTTTTTGTTTAATTTTTTAGGGGGCGTGTTGAAAAAGAAACTTTAGCTTCGGACAAAAATTAATCTATAGTTTACTTAGGACTGAGATTCGAAAATAACAGATTACATTTCCGCCGGTTCCGTCAGCGCGTACCGACGGTGATATAAACTGTATATTATAGATACTACGATACATCAAACGAATGACTGAATTTAGTCAATTCTTCACTCAACGTTTTGTTCCCTCAACTTACTACACTACGTCTAACAGACAACAACATTGAGAAATTCAATCCGAAATTGCCAGCAACGCTGCGACACTTGCATTTAGAGAGAAATTGAATCAGTAATTTTACACCGTCTGGCGGTGACAATCTGCAGTCTCTGTACTTGGACTACAATAGAAAATTGGATTAAATTCAAATAGATTCTCCCAACCTAAAAGTTGCATCGTTTAAAAGTTGTTCTTTGCTTTCGTATAAGTTTGCCAATTTCCTCGATAGAGACCGCTTCGTTTTGAAGGAACTCGATATATCTCACAATTATTTCGATGATGTAAGCAACACTCTGTATCAAAGGACAAAGAATCTCGAGATTTTGATTTTGAGTAATAATAGAATTACAAAGATATATAACGGAGTTGCATCAGATGCCGCGACTACGTAGTTTGTTGTTGAGCCACAATCTGATAACAAGAGTCGGGAACTTGAGATCGGATTCCTTGACGATGTTGAGTCTTCGAAACAATAATATCAAGCTCGGCGAAACTACGTTCCAAGAGCTTCCTGCGCTTGAGATGTTGGATTTGTCTGGAAACGAACTGGCATACTTGCCCAAAGGCTGGACGAACGGTTTGAATAAACTAAAAACGTTGAATTTGACCTCGAACCGGTTCACGAGTCTCGGTAACACGCGATTGATTGCAGACTTCAGCAATTTGATGAATCTGTACCTGGAAGAAAACTTTATACAAAAGATCACAGATCAGGAGTTGTATTCGGTTCCGGTAAATTCCACGATCTATATGCATGGATTTCAGCACGACTACGAAGACGATCCGTATTAGCTACTCTGAAATATTGTAAAATCTGTATGTTAACCGTTGATCAAAATGTATTGGGTACTCGATTAAAAAAACATTAAATATTTTAAAGAAATGAAGTTATGATCGCCAGTTTCATTGTTCCTTTCCGCTTTACCTTCCGCTTCATCAGAATCAGTTTCCTCTTTCTGTTGAATCGTTTCCTGATTTTCATTATTCTGAACTTATAGTTTTGACTCATTGTTTTAAATCTGACGTTGTGCCCATCGGCAAAACTCAACGCGATTCATGATGTCGTTCCCATGCAATTCTTGGTGAAGACTAACATGATACGGATGAAATTTGTGACGGTACAAAATGCGAAGTACGCTTCTTTTACTAATGCCAGATTGGCGTTCAATTTGTCGTGAACTAATATGAGGACTTCTAGACACACTTGCGAGCACACCGATTTCTATTTCTTCGTTAATTACTCATTTCTGGCGTTCGCATTTACTACCAAAACCGTAAGTATTATCGCCTTTCTCTACTTTCTATGACCTTCAATGACCCTATGTAATAGGTCCTTGTACTCTTTTTAAGATTCTCTATCACGACGCGGATGCAAAAACAGACCGATTCATTTTAAAAAATGGAGGTGACCTTGATATGTCCGAATAACTTCCACCTATAAAAAGCTATTATCGCCGACGGATAGCCCCCTTCGTACTGTGCACAATTTTATTTCAGCAAATATTTCTGTGGAACTTATAGATATCTGAGGTGCTAATCATTATTGCCCCACCCTGTATACGCTTCTGTTGAGTGTATCCGCCTCAGTATTGCATGATATATGCTGTAAGCAGGGGTCGACGACACATGTGCCGTCGATCATATAGGCGAAGCGGACAATACAGTAAATTCTCCCTAATTGACGCTTAGCTTGTACACAAAACTGGACAATATGGGAAAAGGAGATGCGATTGTTCGAGCCTTGCAGCTCGTTTTTATTGTTATCGATTGTCAAAAATTATAAAAACGAGCTGCAATGTTATTTATAATCGTACCTCATCTTCTCAAATTGTCTATTTTTGTGTACAAATTGTGCGTCAATTAGGGAGAATTTACTGTACTCCGCCTGCTATCGCCTTCGCCAGGCCTCGTTCACTAACGGTCGGGCTACAACTAAGAGCGTACAAACCCGTTCGAGTCTCGGAATCCTAAAGTTTTGGACGGGACAAAGAAATTCGAGCGGAATCTGGCGGGCTCCCGATACATTTTACTGCTCGAGATTTGGAGGACTGAGCGTTTCGGGATTCCCGAAAGCTTTGAGCCTGCGCTCGGTTCTCGGGTGGTCTCAGACAGTATCGAGCGGTTTCGGTCTCTACGCATGAATACGATATGTCAGAATCTACATAAGCGTCGCACGCGATCTGTTCAGGATTCAGTTGTCACACACTGAAAATATAAAAAGAAAACGGAACAATAATGATATGATAAATTTTCGATAATATATGAAAATGATAATACAGAATAGTTCGCACACTTTGTCCTTATGTAAACTTTAAATAAGAATGATATAAATAAAAAATACAATCTTTGGATCGACATATGAAAAACATAGGACAATTTGATTTTTATTAAAATTGATTTACATTGCTATGTCATTGCGACGTAATGTGTTAGAAATACTAAAAAACAAAATTCAGTATTCAAATTCAGAAAACAAAAATAATAATTCACAAAATATTTCCAGTAATGAAAATGGTACATTCTTAAATTACTAATATCAGTAATAGTTAATATTTTATGTTACGTTAATTATATTAATAAATTTTTAATACATTTTTTACTCTTCAGCTCCGAAGAAATCGCAAATAACGCAGTTCTTTGACCCAAACTTGGATTTGTGCGAGAAGAAACTGATACTTTTACTTCTCGCAAAACTCGGGAAATATAAATGTATTTTTCCGAAATAACTAAAACAGGAAAATGTAACATTATGGAATGGTAAAAATATTACGGCAACAAATATTCGCTATTACAAAATGTGGCAAAATATGTACTTGCTATATCTGCAATCTATCTAAGAGAAATCGAACTCGCATGGTAGTCTCCGACGCTACTCCCCTTCCGATTAATTTATTTTACGGTAGGGTCGATGGTTCAACGCAGGCTTTCAGAGCGTAACAGTCCTATCCATTCAACATTTCTGACATACTTAATTTCGAGGCTTCGTAAATTCAATGAACGATTCCTTGAATTTGGAATCGAAGGAACTGGACGGTGTATTCCGAGCAATGTGATTACATAGACTTTTACTGGACTATATATATAATAAGCCTCAGATTGGTTTTAGTTACAAACATTATTTTACGCTGTGTCCTGAGATGATCTAAAACAATTTGAAGTTAACAATGAATTATCAGGTTTTTAAAATTGGAACAGTGATTATGTACAATCGAGAGAATTGCAGCCTACATATGAAATGTATTTAGCAACGTTACTAATTCTATGTTTTTCATCGAGACAATCGCATCGCTTGGACGTATAACAATAGTACGGCCGCAGTGATGACCTTTCATATCTAATCTCCGAGGTGTCGCGGTTCGTCTACCAAGCTATAAATTAATGTCAAAGTATAAGAAAGTGCCATCGTGCGTACTTCCTCCGGAATAGTTTTGTATCTTTATGAAAAGTTCTTTGTCCTGCACGAAAACTCTACTCAGCAGCGGATTCTGTAGACACTTGTGAAGAAGAAACTGCCCGGTAGAAGGGTTGGACCGATCTACAGGGTGTCCCAAAAATGTCTCGCATTACAAAAATGTGGGGTAGCTGAGGTCATTCTGAGTAACTTTTTCCTTTGCGAAAATGCAATCTGCCGCTTTGTTTACGAGTTATTAACGAAAAACACCGAGCAATGAGAGGCGATGGCGCGAACCATAACGTGGTCGATCGATCGAGCGTCACGTGCTCCTACTACTGAGTTTGACAGCTGAAGGGGGACACTGTGCCGCGTTCGAATCAATGAACCAGTCACGAAGCATGAACTTTTGATATTCTCTTTTCCACGTGACAGTGATAATTTTAAGAAAACGCTGTTCATTCTTATTTCAGAATGTCTGAAGAATATTTACTAATTCTTCGGACCCGAAATAATACGTAGTTTAACCGTGACAATCGTTTTAATTTTCTGGTGTGCATGATATCTCATGTGTACCATATGAAATTTTTATGCAAGGTGTACAGTGAAGATTAACAAAGTTCGTAAATAATATTTTAATTTAAATAATTCCGTGTCCGAACAGAATTCAACGAATGATTCACAAAGCTGATTTAATAATAAATAATACCGTCGCTGACAGCGGGTCGGCCGCAGTTTACGTCTCTACATATCTTGTTTATTTAATATGGCGGTACCCTGCGCTCTTAGAACCTAATTAACGGCCGTTCGAGAAAAATGGTATCGGGTGTCATTTCCTCGGATGGCCGAATGACGAACGACAAGGGCCCACGGTCGTGGCCTGGATTTTTCGGCAATGAAACGTCGACTTCCGAACGGACGCGTCGAATAAACGATCATCCGCGAACGAGTCTCAGTGATCTTTCGTAATATCCATAAAAGTTTCGGATTATCAGTGATTAATTAAGTGATCAATGTTTGGTGACAGTGCAGTGTAAGTGAACTTCGTAAATAACCATACCAGAGGTTCCTCTGACAGTATCCCTCGAATGTTGCGGTCATCGACCTGGGATCAGCTGTACGTTGTACGAGGTCAGTGCGTACGAGTCGGCAAATGCATCCTCAACTAAATGGATCAGTTTCTTATTGATAATATTTTTTATATTTCTCTAATAAACAAATCCTTTACGTCCCTTAACGCGATTACTTATTATTAACTCAGCTTTGCAAATCATTCGTTGAATTCTGTTCGGGCACGGAATTATTTAAATTAAAATATCATTTACGAACTTTGTTAATCCTCACTGTACACCTTGTATAAAAATTTCATATGGTACATGTGAGGTGTCATGTACACCAGAAAATTAAAACGGTTGTCATGGTTAAGCTACATATTATTTCGGGTCCGAAAAATTAGTAAATATTCTTTAGACGTTCTAAAGTAAAGGTGAGCAGCGTTTTTCTTAAAAATATCACTATTACGTAGTAAACAAAATCCGGAAGTTCACGCTTCGTAACTTGTTCAATACTTCGAACGCGGCTCGAGTCCGTCCCGACCTTCTGTTAAAGCCTCGTGTTGCGGGCTCTCGAACTTCGCGCCGTCACCTCTCATTGGCCAGTGTTTTTCGTTAATAACAAAGCCGCAGATTGCATTTTCGCAAAGGAAAAAGTTACTTAGAATGACCTCAGCTAACCCACATTTTCGGCTGTTAAAATAATTGTGGAATACCCTGTATAATATAAAAATTACCTTGGGAACCCCAATCAATATCTCCATTGTATTTTTTTGTAACATATTTGGCATTCCTTTACGATAAAAAGTCGTACCTTACATAAATAATTGTCATGCAAAATATTCGGAAAAATAATTAAATGAGATGAAGAAAATTCTCAACATTTTCTACGTTTTATTAGCAATATCGTTTGATAATGTCGTTATGGAATATTTTCAACATACTTTGCTGTATATAATTGTGCAAAGATTATTTCCTACTTCGACCTACTTCCAAAGTTATTGTTTAAAGCCTTCCGAGTCATAGATTTCGCATCCGTCGTCGGTTATTTCGCAACCACGGTTATTTCTTTTGCCATTCTAAGTAATAGCAAAAATTGTAATTATTATAAATTGTTATAAAAAATATCTTTTAACATGCTCGTGATGCGTCTTTTGCATTTCCATAATTTTTGTATACGTTGAATACAAATTTTTTTAACTTTCTATTTTACGTATTCCATAAAATGTATTTAGAAAGTAAAAAATAGTTTGTAAAATAATATTTAAACAATTTTCTTTTTCATGAAAAAAACACCAATTAAAATTAATTATAAATTATTGTTCAACAAATGCAAAAAATATTTAATT